GATGCTTTTACCAACTGAGGTACACGGGGCCCATCAAGAGACATGGAAGGAGAAAACAAACGTGTGGACCTCAAGGGGGGAAAGTGGGATAGGTTGAACTGGGGGATGGGGATTACATATATACACTACTATTACGAAATAGATTACTAATGATACTAATGAGAACCTACGGTACAGCTCAGGGAACGCTACGCAGTGCTCTGTGGTGAGAAATGGGAAGGAAATCCAAAAAAGAGGGGATATATATATATATATACACACACACACACATATATATCTGTATAGCTGGTTCAATTTGCTGTACAGTAGAAAATAACACAACATGTAAAGCAACTATACTCCATTAAAAATTAATTAAAAAAGAAAAAATTATAACCTATCACTCTAATACCTAAAAACCTCAAATCAAATAATCACATTTCTAAGTGTAAATATATTTCATACCTAATTATACACATAAAACAAACGGTGTCATCACATTTCCAGTGGTCTCAATTTATGTTAAACATATAAACACTTATCTATTTAATATGATATTTAGGGTATTCTTATATTAGATATTTAATGTATACTTATATTTATGTATTTAATATGTGAAAATATATATACAACATGCATTCATATGTGATTATTTTCATTTGAATCAGCATCTAAATAAGGACTACACACTGAAATTGACAAGTGTTTTTAATCTGTTCTTAAATAGGCTCTCTGAGTCTTGTTTTCCTTGCGATATATTTGTCATGAAGAGTTCCCCTTGATCTGGATCTTGCCGACTACGTCTCCGTGGCAGTTTCTAACCTGTTTCTCCGCTCTTGTATTTTCTGTAAATTGGTATTTGGGTCTGAGGCTCTTCCAGATTTGAGTTCGCTGTTTTTAGTAAGATGACTTCACAGTGGTGGCATGTTTCCCCGCTGGGCACGATACCCTCTGGTTTCTGGTTTGGGGAGGTTTGCAGCCGGTTGCCCATCATGGCCCAGACCCATTAAATCACAGGGGGCCACCCAGTGCAGCTAGCCCAGCACTCTCCTGGCTTCACCAATTAGCTGGGATGTTCCTTGTCCACGTTTGGGCACCAGGTGATACAGTTTGCTTGGACAGGTAGAACAGATGGTCCAACCTTTCCCTTTATTTACCATCTTTTACTACCTCCTCTCCTGCCCTCTTATTTTTAACTAAGGAGGAATCTGGGACTCTGCGGCAACGTGGGACCCAAATTCTGGGTTGCAAGGCAAAGGGCCCTTTCTGGGCAAGGGCTCCATCCTCACTGTGGTCACCCTTGGTCACTTCTGCAACCCAGGGGGTACAAGGGCAGATGTAGTCTCGGGATTGATGTTGGGCCACAGCCTTGGCCCTGTCCCCTGCATCTGGCAGACCACCCCAGCTCACTGGCTGAGTCCGGGCCATCACCTTCTTTGGTTCAGTGCAAGGGATGTTTGGGGCAGATCCCAGCAAGCAGTGCACCCATCTCTCTCCTTACCTCCTCGATGTTCAGGCTGACTATAGTTGCTCGCTCTCAACCTTTGGTTCTGAAGAATGAGAGCTTCTTTGGCCTCTTCTCCAGGGCAGCCTCACCGTGGAGGCCTGACCTCCCCCGTGAACAGCCCCTTACAAACATCACAGAGGCTTCCTGGTTCTCACTGTGGAAGCTGAGCTCCAGTCCTTAGCTGACATTCTTCAAAACCAAGTCTCGCGCCAGAAACTAACATCGATGCGCCAGGCATCGACTGATCATTTCTCTCTTGTTCTTTAAATTTTCTTCTTAAAGACAGTTCATCAGTTTCATTGACTATAATTGACGTGCAATAAACTGCATCCATTTGAAGTGCATACCTTAACAGTGAACAGATAATTTATGGAGCACCTAGTACGTATCAGGTACTTGCCCTACAGCCTGTGGGAGTGGAGAGCTTCGATGTCAGACAACCTAGGTCAGAATCTCAGTTGGAATTCCAGTTACCAGCCATGTGACCTTGGGTCACTTGTGTCGTTAGGTGAGGCTGGGTTCTCACCTGTGACACCTCTTGGGGGTAGATTGGATATTATTCTCAAATTTTCATTCCCTCCTGTAACAGGATGATATGTCCATGCTCTTTGCTATGTGAGTTTGTGGTACACCTCCCACTGCAGTCGCCAGAGTATAATCCCCAGCCCGCTGAAGTGTGGGCTCAGCCATGTGACTTGCCTTGGCCAGTTTGACTTAGTTCAGTTCAGTCGCTCAGTCATGTCCGACTCTTCGTGACCCCATGAATTGCAGCACGCCAGGCCTCCCTGTCCATCACCAACTCCCCGAGTCCACCCAAACCCATGTTCGTTGAGTCGGTGATGCCATCCAACCATCTCATCCTCTGTTGTCCTCTTCTCCTCCTGCCCTCAATCTTTCCCAGCATCAGGGTCTTTTCCAATGAGTCAGCTCTTTCGCTTTGTGGCCAAAGTATTGGAGTTTCAGCTTCAACATCAGTCCTTCCAATGAACACCCAGGACTGATTTCCTTTAGGATGGACTGGTTGGATCTCGTTGCAATTCAAGGGACTCTCAAGAGTCTTCTCCAACATCACAGTTCAACAGCATGAAATCTTTGGCGCTCAGCTTTCTTTATAGTCCAGCTCTCACATCCATACATGGCCACTGGAAAAACCATAGCCTTGACTAGACAGACCTTTGTTGGTAAAGTAATGTCTCTGCTTTTTAATATGCTGTCTAGGTTGGTCATAGTGGATGTGATGAAAGCACCAGCTTGATAAATGGTTGAGTTTGGGGCTTAGCTGCCTGAGCTTCCGCCATGTGCTACAAGGCAAAATGTCCCACATAGCTGATGGTTCTAAAAGGAGACACTCATGGAGCTGACCTGAATCTGACCCGTGGACTGAAGCTAAATCAAGCTGACCCACAGAATGAAGCAGTGTCACCCAGGTTGACCCACAGGGCTATGAGAGAGGAAGAGAAATTGTGGCAAGCCTCTAGATTGGTGGGGCAGTTTGTTACACAGCAGGATTGAAGGAGAAAGCTGACTAATCCACATGTATGATCATAGGAAACACTACACAAGATTGCAGTGTGGATTAAATGGGCTAATATGTTTAAATAACTTGATATAGTAAAATAATTGTTATAGTCTGGCATGTATTAACTCCATGAAATATTAGATATTAACGAAAATTTTTCTTAGTTAAAAATAAGTGTGTTTCTCAGTTTATGACATGATATGCTAGTACATTTTTTTTAACCCTTTGGGTTAGCTTTTTCTTTTCTAAGCCTTGAAACATAGAGTAACTGTGTTGCTTATGGAAGCACAGACCCACAGGTCACAGTTTGTGGTATAGATCACAGAATCAAAAAGTCAGCATCCAGATCCTAAAGTCCCTCTAGTTGACACCCACTCTCACACCCAGTAGAAGAACCCTGGCATCCTGTCCATCTCTGGGGGTTGCTAAGCCTCTGTGTGAAAACTTCTAATGATGGCGAGCTCCCTGCTTTACATAACAGCCTGTTTAATTTTTTAATTAAAAGAAAAATTTGGCCACACTCCATGGCATGTGGGATCTTAGTTCCCTGACCAGGGATCAAACCTGTGCCCCTTGCAGTGAGAGCATGGAGTCTTCACCACTGGACTGCCAGGGAAGTCCCCAACCTGTTTAATTTCTGAAACTTCCTTATGGTGAAGAGGATTCTCTCTTTGCCCTGATGCAGGATGACTCTTGGGCAGGGCTGAAGACGGTCAATAGGTTACTAATAGCAAGAGTTTAGGCACTAGGGTCAGAGCTGGGTTAGAATTCTAAGTCTCACATTTCGTGCTTTGTGACCTTGGGCAAGTGTCCAAGGCTCTCTGAGCCTCAGTGTCCTCTGTTAAATCAGGTAAAGAGATGGTAAAAAAAAAAAAAAAATTCACCTCCCAGGCTGTTTTCAGATCAAATGAGAGACACCCAGTAGGTCAGCAGAGGAGAGCATGTGGAGGTTTGTATTTAAACCAAGGTTCCTAGGATACAAAGGTTCGCTCTTGCTATGCAAGAGTTGTTCTCTCACTTCTCCCTTTCACTTCATGCTTCCTTTCTCTAATTTTTAACATCTCCCATGACTGCCCAGGTTGTTCTGGATGAGACAGGGAGAAGCTGTCAGTTAACTGAGGTGCCCCCAGGGCCACGTTAGAGCCTCATGAGTGAGTGAAAATCGCTCAGTTGTGTTTGACTCTTTGTGACCCCATGGACTGTAGCCTGCCAGGCTTGTCTGTCCATGGAATTCTCCAGGCAAGAATACAGGAGTGGGTAGCCTATCCCTTCTCCAGGGGATCTTTCCGATCCAGGAATTGAACCGGGGTCTCCTGCATTGCAGGCAGTTTCTTTACCAGCTGAGCTACCAGGGAAGCCCCATCAAGCCTCATGGTTGTGTATTAAATTCCCAGGATGTGCCAGGCAGGGCTCTGAATGTTGCAGCAAACCCTTTGCCCTCATGGAGCCCCATTGTGTAGGTGGTGGGGAGATGCATGTGAAACCAACCAACACGGCATTGAAGGTAAGTGTCATGGAGAGAACAAGGCAGGAAAGCGCAGGGGTGGGGAAGCCTGGGGGATTCGGCCTCAGGGGACACTAGGAGCAGCCGGTCTCTGGAACAAGGAAGGGGGTGTACCTCGTCTACTCTGTGCTGAGCATCGGCTGCCCCGCAAGGGTGTCAGAGCAAAGGGGCAGATGTCCAGAGAGGGGTGACCTGGGTGGTGAAGGGACAAGGGACTGTTTCGCCTTAGTAACTATAAGAGCGGCCGCCACCTACTGAGGCACGTGCTGGGCTCTGGGCGCTACGTGCATTTTGTGATTGATTCTCACAGTCAGGTCCACAGATAGTCTTATCCTCACCCACAAAGATGCTGACGGAGGCTCAGTGTGGCATGAACTGCCCGGTCCACAGCAAGGAGGAGAAGAGGCGAGATCGGAGCGCAGGTCTCCTGGGCTTGGAGCAGAAGCGCAGAGTCTGTGTGTGAAGCGGTGGTGGCATCTGTCCATTCTGTGATGTCGGTGGCCCGTGGTGGTCAGTTTCACACTACCGAAGGGAATGTGGCGGGGACAGACGTGACAGGACTTGGCATTGGACGGGGCCAAGGGGAGGCCACAGGCTTCAGATCCCTGCTGTTACAAAGAGGAAGGGTTCCCGGGAGGCTTGTGGACCCCTGGGAATCCAAGCCTGGACCTGACTTTCCTTTACAGATGTTAACTGAGGTCCAGCCTGTTCTAGGTTCCCGGGCGGGGTGGCAGGGGTTTTGCTTTCACGGTCTGGGAACACTGGTCTCAGCAGCGGTCCCCAGTCACGTCCATTGCAGTGGGTCGTCTTCAAAGTCAGGGAAGGACAGGGGGCATCGGGAGGCGGGGTCTTGTCACAGTGAAGGGCGTGGCGCCGGACCAGCACGCGCGCGCGCGCACACACACCGCGCCAACCCCAAGCGCCTGTGATCCTGGGTGTGACGTCCTCCGGCTCTGGACCTCAGTTTCTCCCTTAGTCAAATGCAGGGGGGCGGGGGGGCAGGGGTTCTGAGGTCTTGGCGGCTTGGACCTCCCTCCAGCGATGCTGCTGCGTGTGGAAGCCCGGCCCTACGTGGGGACGTGGGGACACGGAGCTCCTGCCTGCACGTGTTTCCCCGCCTCTCCTCCCCAGGCAGTGCTATTTAAAGTGACGGTGGTTTGGCTCGCTCGTTTTTTAAAAAACCATTCCCATACTGGAGCCGAGTTCCACAAGGCCAGCTGTCACCACTAAAAATGTCTATCGTGTGACAGCCACCAGTGGGGAGATGGGAGGAGGCAGGGGGCCCCGGATGGGACCGCAGCGTGGCTGGATTTAAAAAAAAAAAGTAAAAAAAAAACCACCAAAAATCAGCGCTGCAAAGAAGAGACAAAAGCTGGGAGGGGGCTACTGTCTCCTCTCTGTCTAGTTTCCTTTGCCAGATCCTCGCGGCCCTGTGGAGCGCGGGCGGCAGCAGGCACCACGTGCCGTGGGGACAGGTGCGGAGGGGGTCCAGGGCCCTGGCACGTGGGCTGTCAGCCCCAGCCCCTCCCCACGCCGGGCTTGGTGGGCACGGCGCCCCTGCAGGCCCTCCAGGCCGTCCTCCATCTGTGCCTCCCCACACCCTCACCCCACTCCCATGGGAAACGAAGAAGCCATACGTCCAAGGCTGTCGTCCATGGGAGCGGATGCAGGGCTTCCCATGGGAGGGAAGGAGACGTTTGACGGGCCCCTCCTGGGTCAAACACTTGCGTGAGTCATTTTTCAAGTGACTCGGTGTTCACAATAAACTTGAAGAGGAGCCTCCATCTTCCTCATTTTCCTGATAGGGAAACTGAGGATCCCTGGTCGGAGCACCTGCCTAAGGCAGCGTGGTAGGGGATGGGAGCACAGGTCAGCTGGGAGGGACTCCTGGCTTAGGACACTCTTATAATGTGGGGGCAAGCGATTCTCTGGTCTCAACCTCCCCAGCTGTGAAGTGGGGCAATAGCACAATTGTTTCCCAAAGATGTGGGGGTGAAATAAAACCAGACATATCCAATAGTGGGTAAGATGACTGAGGCATAGAATGTACTGGAAGGTCGAGAGCTGGGACAGGATCCACATTCTAGAAGTCAAGGTCCTTCCACTGCCCATTTGTAGCCTCTCAAGGCAGCTAGGAGTAGGGCCTGGAGGGGCCCTGGGGGTGGATGGGGAGTAAGAGACGGTCACCCCCTGCTCTCCTAGTCCCCAACACCTAAGTGTGGCCCCTTTGTCCCTTGTGGGGGCTGTGGGTTCCTGATCATGAATCTGAAGCTGTAACTTCTCTGATGGGGGCTCCTGTCTAGATGTCCTACGGCAGGGAGGGAGAAGGCAAGCAGAGGCCCACACCAACACACGATTTTTGAAAAGGAAAAGGAAATGATACAATTATTGGAGAAAAAACTCCAAAGAAGACTTTTGGGTCTCTGGAACTGCTTCCTCTCAATCTTCTCAGGGCTCTCTTCTTTCTGCTCAAAGAAAGAGACTCAGGTAAGTCATTTACAATTTAGTATAGTTATAGTCACTACCACATATGGCCTAACTCCTCTATGCCAGTAGCTCTTCTAGGTGTTTTCCTCTTAAAAGGTTTTGCTTGTCCCTCTGGATGGTATGTGCCCATCTATTAAAAATTCTTTCAGACGTTCATTTCTTTATTCACTCAACAAACGTTTATTGAGCACCGATGGTGTGCCAGGTTCAAGCCTGGGTGTGACATCAGCCAGCCCTGGATAGTGTGTGGAGATGCACACAGCTGGGCAGGTGAGCAGCTCTGGGATGATTTTCACTCTTTCCCTCTGGGATCTATGACACATTTCTGACACTGGGGCAAGATATGATCCCCTGCAAACAGGGTGACATTTCAATGGGAGGGATATACAATCATCAGCCAATGCACATTTAAAATGATGGTAGTCAATGACAGGATTATGAATAAAAATAAAGCAGATGAGGGGATGAGAGTGATGGAAAGGATATAGTTTATTAAGGTTGGTCATGGAGAGCCTCTATAAAAAAGGAATTTAAAAAAATTTAAATTTATTTATATATTTTATTTATTTTTGGCTGCACTGCACGGCTTGTGGGATCTTAGTTCCCTGACCAGGGATTGAACCCAGGCCCTTGGCAGTGAAAACTGGAGTCCTAACCTCTGGACTGCCAGGGAATTCCCTAAAATTTATTTATTAAAATTTTTTTTTCAAGTTTTGAGGTCACTTTTATTTTAGGTAATAGTTCACACTTTTTAAAAAAATTGAATGAAAGCACCTTTAAATTCTGTAGTGCTTTACAGTTTTCAAGTTTCATGTACATGATTTCATACAATCCCATAATAACCCCTTTCTCCCTCACACTTATATTGCCTCTCTCCTTCTCCTCTCCCCTCTGATAGCCACTATTTCGTTCTCTATATCTGTGAGTTTACTTCTTTTTTGTTTTATTCACTAGTTTGTTATATTTTTTAGACTCTGTATATCTTACAGTATTTGTCTTTCTCTTTCTGACATTTCACCTAGCATAATGTCTTCCAAGTCTATCCAAGTTGCTGCAAATGGCAAATTTTCATTCTTTTTAATGGCTGCATAGTATTCCATGATATATGCCTGAGTTTGTGTGTTGTGTGTTGTGTTGTGTGTGTGTGTGTATTCATGTGTGCATGCTAAGTTGCTTCAATTGTGTCCAACTTTGTGCAACCCTATGGACTGTATCCTGCCAGGATCTTCTGTCCCTGGGATTCTCCATGCAATAATACTGGAGTGGATTGCCATGCCCTCCTCCAGGGGATCTTCCCAACCATGGGATTGAACCCATATCTCTTAAGCCTCCTGCATTGGCAGGTGGGTTCTTTACCACTAGCACCACCTGGGAAACCTATTTCATCTAACCAATTTCATCCATCTGTTGATGGACACTTGGGTTGCTTCCATATCTTGGCAATTGTAGATAATGCTGCTATGAGCATTGGGATACATATATCTTTTCAAGTTAGTGTGTTCATTTTTGGACAATGTACACCCAGGAGTGGAATTGCTGGGTCATACGGTAGTTCTTTTCAGAAACCTCCATATTGCTTTCTGCAGTGGCTGCACCCATTTACATTCCCACCAAGAGTGTAAGAGGATTCCCTTTTTTCCGCATCCTCACCAGTATTTGCTATTTGTGTTCTTTCTGATGATAGCCATTTTGATAGGTGTGGGGTGATATCTCAGGGTAGTTTTGGTTTGCATTTCCCTGATGATTAGCAATGTTGAGTTTCATGTGTCTGTTGGCCATCTGTATTTCCTCCTGGAGAAATGTCTATTCAGTTCTTCTGCCCATTTTTTATCTGTTTTTTTTTTTTTTTGATGTTGGGTTGCATGAGCTGCTTATATATATATTGAATACCATTGGAAAAGACCCTGATGCTGGGAAAGATTGAAGGCAGGAAGAGAAGGGGACGACAGAGGATGAGATGGTTGGATGGCATCACCGACTCTATGGACATGAATTTGAGCAAGCTCCGGGAGTTGGTTATGAACTGGGAAGTCTGGCATGCTGCAGTCCATGGGGTGGCAAAGAGTTGGACATGACTGAGCAACTGAATTGACCGACTGGTTAGCCCCGTATTTGTCATCATTTGCAAAATTTGCTCTCACTCAGTAAGCTGTCTTTTCATTTTTTTCAATGAAAAAACTGGAGACTCTTTTAAAAGAAGTATCCGTTCGTTTATTTAGACTTTTTTTGGGTGAATATATAAGACATTTATGTGGTTCAAAGTCCAGAATAGACTTCCTATCTGCCTGGTTCCCTGTCCCAGTAATCATTGTTCTTAGTTTTTAAAGAAGTTTTCAGAGTTTCTTTTGGTAGATACAATCATACCTTGGAGATACTGTAAATTTGGTTGTAGACCACTGCAATAAAGTGAATATTGCAATAAAACGAGTCACACGTATTTTTTAAAAATTATTTATTTATTTGATTTTTGACTGCACTGGGTCTTTGTTGCTATGCTGGCTTTTCTCTACTTGCGGTGCGCGGGCTTCTCATTGCCATGGTTTCTCTTGTTGTGGACCACGGGCTCTAGGGTACGTGGGCTTCAGTAGTTGAGGCTCTTGGGCTCTAGAGCACAGGCTCAGTAGTTGGGGTATACAGCCTTAGTTGCTCCTTAGCTTGTGGGATCTTCCCAGACCAGGGAGAGAACCCATGTCTCCTGCATTGGCAGGCAGATTCTTTACCACTGAGTCACCAAGGAAGCCCGAGACATAGGTATTTTTTTGTTTCCCAGTGCATATAAAAGTTATATTTACACTATAACATAGTCTATTAAGTGTGCAATATTATTGTGTCTAAAAAAACCCTCAAAGTACACGCCTTAATTAAAAAAACTCTGTTGCCAAAAAAATGCTAACCATCACCTGATCCTTCAGTGAATCATAATTTTTTTTTTTTGCTGTTTTTGAAATATTTCAAAGACCAAAATGTGACACAGAGATGTGAAGCGAGCCAATGCTGTTGGAAAAAATGGCACCAAGAGATTTGCTCGACGCAGGGGTGCCACAAACCTTCAATGTGTAAAAAACATCGCATCTGTGAAGTGCAATAAATGGAAGCCTGGTAAAACGAGGTGTGCCTGTTGGAACAAATGTGAATAGTTTCTTCAAACGAAAAAAGTCAGCACACAATGGGTACTAACGATTGGACTGGGGCCTGGATGGAAGGAGCCAATCCAGGGAGGGTTCCTGGGCAGGAGCCCGTGAGCCAGGGGCCGGGTGGTGCATGGGGCTGAGTGTGCGGACACGGACAGCATCTCAGTGGTCCATGGTGAGAAAGAAGGCGACTGGCCAGGAGGCCTCTGCAGGTGGTCAGTTGGGGTGTGACCTGATGGAACACAGATTTTAATAGGATCCCTCTTGCTACTCTGGGGGTGAAGGCAGGTGCAGGGAGACTGTTGGGAAGT